GTGAGAGAGAGAGAGAGAGATGTGAGAGAGAGAGAGATGTGAGAGAGAGAGAGATGTGTGAGAGAGAGATGTGTGAGAGAGAGATGTGAGAGAGAGAGAGATGTGTGAGAGAGAGATGTGTGAGAGAGAGATGTGAGAGAGAGAGAGATGTGTGTGTGTGAGAGAGAGATGCGTGTGTGAGAGAGAGAGAGAGAGAGATGTGTGTGTGTGAGAGAGAGAGAGATGTGTGTGTGAGAGAGATGTGTGTGTGTGTGAGAGAGAGAGAGAGATGTGTGTGTGAGAGAGAGAGATGTGTGTGTGTGTGTGAGAGAGAGAGAGATGTGTGTGAGAGAGAGAGAGATGTGAGAGAGAGAGAAAGAAAGAGAAAGCAAGACTGGGCATAGCATGGAGGATCCGGAGTTTAGGGAATTTGTGAGATCTACATTCTCCTATCTTTCCCTCTTGTCTGAACTCTGATTTTTCAGTAACACCCTGTTTCCATGAAATTGTACAAAGAGTAAGGGTAAGTACTGACCTTGTGTTAACTATTACACAAATAGGTTAGAATTAAAGATAGTTTCATTTACCTGGCTGTTCCTGTCCATTTCTGATGGTCTGACATTTTAAAGGTACTGTGGCTAACTGTCCCTTGTTGCAAATAAGGTTTCAGTCGGCCTCCTGGCCTCATCATTTGAGGCTTCAAAGCACTCCTGGCCCTCATGCTGAGTGATGTGGCCAGTAGTCAGGAAGCCCATGAAATCAATCATTTCTTCATGATTCATTGATGGTTCTAAACTGGAAAGAGTCATTTCAGTTGTATATAGTATTTCACTTATTTCTCTATTGCCGAAAATGTGGGGACATCTTCCGTGTGTTAGCAGAACTGTTTACCAACTTATGCCTGGAAACACCGAGTTTGAGATCTGGTGACTGAGTTTCGACTTTATGGGTTGGGTCCATCCCCCAGTTCTGTCTGCTTCATCCTTCCTGCATGTGTGGATCTTGTGTTGTAGGAGTCGATCGTCTTTAAGGACGTAGCTGTGGAGTTCTCTCTGGAGGAGTGGGCTTTGCTGGGTCCTACTCAGAGGCAGCTCTACAGAGACGTGATGCTGGAAACCTTCAGGAACTTGGCATCAGTAGGTAAGCAAAGCATTGCTTCTTCATTTAGTTATCTAGAAAGCAAGCATATTTGGCTCCTCAGGCCTGTTCCAGAACTTGTAGACAGAGGATTGTGCTGGCCCATGAGACAGACACACAGCTGCCACAGCCATGGGGGGTGGGGGAAGGCGGGGAACACGACCCTCCAGTGCTCTCCAGGTGGGGAGATGGTGAAGGAAAACTGCATTTGTCTTCCTGTATTGGATGAAAGACTTGAATTTCCTTACCGCCAAACATGTGGATCTAGCTTTCATAGGTCATTATGGGGCACAGAGAGCTTTGTTTGGGGAAAGCTGGAGGGGATGTTGTTGTGTGTAGTAAGTTGCTTTCCATTTTGACTCCATACGCCTGGGACTGATGAGGTCTCTAAATACCCGAGCTCCTCAACACACTTGGTTTCACAAACAGAAACCTTCTTCCCTGTCATATCTGTTTACTTTTGCTTTCAGAAGATGAGACCCCGTTTAACACCAGTGGGTTGGTTTGTCAACAGGCTCCACAGGAGGGAAAACTACCCAAGGAAGATAAGATACGAACATTTACAGGAATTAATGCTTGGTCCTCCATTTTAGGAAAAAGTTGTGACAGCTTCAGCATTGAAGATCACCGTAGAAACCGGGGGCTCCCTCTGAGGTAAGCGACACACAAGCGGAGACCCTTACTATGTCATGAAACTTTAACAATCTATGAATGAACAAGAAACCCAGATATGCCTTGTGGATAAATCTTTGTTTAGTGACAACTTTTCATTAAATGTGACGTAGACAGTGATTGTTTAATACAGAATTCTATTGAAAACCATGATCTAAAAAACTCCATCTCTACAAGAACCATTGATTTCATAAAGGCTGTGGTCTAGCTCTTTTAGAACATTCTGTTTATTCCATTTTTAAACAGGTCAGATAGGGTGACAATGTTGTTGTTAAGTGCCGTCAAGTTGGTACCGACTCATAGCGATCCTGTATAGAATTTTCGAGGAACAGCTGGTGGGTTTGAACTGTTGAACTGCTGACCCTTTGGTTTACAGTCCAGTGCTAATCCTACAGCACCACACCAGGAGTCCAGGATGAAAATAGGAAAGGTTTAATTTGTTTTTAAGGAACCCTGGTGTGCTGTCAGATAAGCATTTGACTGCTAGCCACAAGGTCGGCAGCACAAACCTACCAGCTGCTCTGTGGGAGAAAGATGAGGCGGTCTGCCCTGACAAACACATACTGTCTCCGAAATCCTGTGTAGGTCTGCTAGGAGTCAGAATTGGCTGTATTGCCGTGGTTTTCAAATTTGTGTTTAAGGAGACTTGGTGGCCCTGTGAGTTAGATGAGCTGCTAACTACAAGGTTGGTGGTTCAAGCCTAGCAGTGCTCCAGCACAGGAAGATGAGGCCGTCCGCTCCGATAACGACTTGGAAACCTTGGATAAAGTCTTGGAAACCCTGTGACTAGGAGTGCATTCCATGGCAGTGGTTTGATGTTTTAATTTGAACTTATTATGAAATTGGTTTAAATGGAATCCTAACTGTTGTTGTTAGGTGCCGTCCAGTCTGTTCTGACCCATAGCGATCCTGTATAGGGTTTTCAAGGAGTGGCTGGTGAGCTTGAACCGCTGACTTTGTGGTTCAAATCGACCTTGCAGTCTAGCGCATTAACCTACAGCGCCACACCAGGACTCAGAATCCTCATAGTTACTAACAAAAATGGATAAGTCACTGTCATATTAACATGCTTCTGTGTTTTAACAGAGATTGTATGGTTGAGAAACTCTGCAAAAGTAATGAAGGTAACCAGTGGGGAGAAACCCCGCATGAGATTTCAAATCTTAATCCGTACAAGAAAACCACAGCCCGAGTCAATCCATATGAACGCACTGAGTGTGGCAAAGTCTTCATGTACCCTTCATCATGTAAGAGGCGCATTGTAAGTCACACTGGACACAAACCATATCAGTGTCCAGAATGTGGGAAAGGCTTTGGTTTTCCATCAGAACTAAGACGACATGTGAGAATTCACGGTGGAGAGAGACCCTATGCATGTGAATTATGCTGGAAAACCTTCATTCATATCCGGTCTTATCGAAGGCATGAAAAGGTTCATAGTAAGGAGAAACTTTATGAATGTAAACAGTGTGGAAGTACCTTCAGTTTTCTGGACTCCTACCAAAGGCACGAAAGGACTCATAATAAAGAGAAATTCAATGAATGCAAGGAATGTGGCAAGGCCTTCAAGTGGCCCTCATCTTTAACAAGACACATGAGAACTCACAGTCGCGAGAAGCCCTATGAGTGCAAACAGTGTGGGAAAGCCTTCAAGTGGCCCATATCTTTGCAGACACATATGAGAACACACACTGAAGAAAAATCCTACAAATGTAAGCGATGTGGGAAAGCTTTCATTTGGCCCGTATCGTTACGTACCCACAGGAGATCACACTGTGGAGAGAAATCCCATGAGTGTAAACAGTGTGGGAAAGCCTTCAGTTGGCCCTTATATTTGCAAAGACACATGAGAGTGCACACTGTACAGAAACTTTATGAATGCAATCAGTGTGGGAAAACATTCCATTGGCAGTCTTCCTTACGGAATCATTTGAACACACACTCTGGAGCCAAACCCTACGAGTGTAAGGTTTGTGGGAAAGCCTTCAGGTGGTCTATATCGTTTCGCGAGCACATGAGAAAGCACTCAGGCAAGACATTCTATGAATGCAAGGAATGTGGGAAGTCATTCTCTTATCTCCAGTCCCTTCGAAGGCATGAAAGGACTCACAGCAAAGAGAAACTCTATGAATGCAGGCAGTGTGGGAAAGGCTTCAGTCAGCTCTTCTACCTTCGGAGGCACGTGCGAATGCACACTGGAGAGAAACCCTACGTGTGTAAGGAGTGTGGGAAAGCCTTCAGGAGCCCCTCTTCATTACCAGTGCACATGAGGACGCACACTGGAGAGAAGCCCTACGTCTGTCAGGAATGTGGGAAAGCTTTTAACTCGTCTTCTGCTTTAAAGTATCACGTGGGAACACACACTAGAGAGGAATATAATAAACGTCAGGTGGGAAAACATCCTGCAAAATAATTCATGTATCATGTTCTAGAAATTCACGCCACGATAAAAATCTTATGAAAATTATAAATGTGTTAATGCCTTTATTAGTACTTGAACTGATGAGTTGTGTATTTCTACTTATTATTTTTCATAAATAAAAAGGGAAAAAGAATTCGGTTAGTACTTGTATAACTGGAATACATAAATTTTGACCAAATATTCAAACCTCTTACCATCAAATTGATGCAGTGATGGAAAAGGTCAGAGAGGCACTGTCCCTTAGGGATTCCAAAGCTGTCCGTCTGTGGAAGCCGAGCGCCACAGCGTTCTTCGGTGAGTGGCAGCTGGTTCCAACCATTAGATTTTTGGTTAGCAGCCAGGCACTTTAAAAACAGCACCACTGGACTCCTCAGTATTTGAGGGCTGGGGAGTGTTTGTCATTAGTGTGGTAAAAGTTTTATCTTTCTAGTGTAATCGAGTCAGTTCCAATCCAAAGCAACTCTGTATAGGGTTTCCAAGGAGCAGCTGGTGAGCTTGAACCACCAACCTTGCAGTTCAAACTGATTTTGCAATCCAGCACATTAGCCCACAGCGCTACAAGTAGAATAATAGCTATGTGGTATTTGTTGAGATTTTTAAATAAATCTAGCGTGGAAGATTATGGACATCAGTTACATATTAAACTGAACCATGCTTTTTTTTTTTTTTTTTTTTTATTGTCGGTGATCCTACCCTGTTTCCCTTTATATCATATAGTAGAAATAGCAGAAGTATGTAGAGTCAGAACCAACTCGATGGTACAACAGTTCCCATCAGAAGACGTTTTATACGTAATAAACGTTCCCTAGAGCCACCGCTGTGCTCAGCTGACATTTCTTGGACTGTGTCTTAGTGTTTGAGTTCTCTAGTGCTGCTAAAAGCCGAAATGCCCCACGTGTCTGACTTTAACAAACACATTTCTTCTCTCTCAGTCTGGCAGTCCTTAGCTCTAGGGAAGGGCTGGGGGTCTGTCAGCCTTTGGGGAAGGTGTCTCTTCATCTTCTGGTGGTCTTCCTAACCCCGTGGTGTCTTGTCTTCTCCCATCTCTGCTAGTTTATATCTCAGAAGAGTTTGACTGAAGACACCCGGCCCAGATGGTCTCATCATCATAACAACCCATTCCCAACTGGGAGTCCAACCATGGGTCCAGCTGTTCCCAATTTGTTGTTGTCGTTAGGTGCCTTAGCGTCAGTACCGATGCATAGCAGCCTTACGCACAACAGAAGGAAATTCGTAGCAACCTTGTATAGAGTTTCCGAGGAGTAGCTGAAGGGTTTAACTGCCGACCTTGTGGTTAGTCCCGTGCTTAGCTTATAGTGCCTCACCAGGACTTCAAACACAGGTATAGGAGGAGTTAAAATATTTTTGAGGGACACAATTCGTAGCAGCTGGGTTCCTTGGGCATCTCAGATCTCGGGTGTTCTGCGTGAAGTATTAGGTGCAACTGGCGAACACCCCAAGAGAGTCACTGCTTGGGGAGTTTCCAACCTTATCTGCACCAGGACCCGGGGTGAAAGTATTTCCAGTTTCAAAGTTTTGGTCTCAAGCCCTGCTGTACACTTCTGGGAAACCTCTTTGGGGATCCACTCCCTCTCCTGGAAACTAACAGTGCCACGAGCTTTTGCAATGAGAAGAGACGTATTGAACATATGATTGGAATTTAATATACGAGGGAGCTTCAAAAAGTCCATGGAAAAATTCTATTATCTTTAAATCCAGTTTTCTAAGAATGAGGCCTCTTCCTTGTATAAGATCAGATTTTAATAAAACGTTCAGATACCGGCCAGGCGTCCAATACCGTTGTATATAACAGCTGCGTTGGGCAACTCCAGGGAGTCTCCACCTGGAAGTATGCATGCGCACTTCCTCGAGGTGGCCCTCTGGCTGCAGCGCTGCCCGCGTGTTCTCAAGTTGAGATGGTGATGCAGGGTAGGCCCCACTTCCAGTTGTCCTCTCTGAGATTCTGGTGACCCGTATAGGAAGATGTGGCAGCTCTGTAATGCCTTCACCGAGCTACATGGTGGTTCGGGAAAAGTAGCGCAAGGGTCCCAAGTCCCGCTTCCTGTCCGGTAGCTTATAAGGAGTCAAGGGAGGCTCTGGAGTTTCTCCCACCAGGCCGCCCCAAGGACCCTGGTTTGTGGGCCAGGTAGCCATATGCATCACGAGATGGTCGTGGGCACTGTTCAGTTCTCTGTAGTTCGAGTTTGTCAACAAGGGTTTGTCATTTCTCTGCTGTGTACCAGTAGACCCTGCTATAGATGCTGCAGTGAACAGATGACTGAAATTCTGACAAGAAACAAGTGGTAAAAGGAAAATATGCAACATCAGGGAGGTGGTGCATCCAGGCTGTGCTGGTGCTGAGCGCCTGGGTCCTGTGAGGGGGAGAGGCTCTTACTACCTTAGGGACCACTGTGGGGTGAGTGTGAATGGGTCTTGGTCAGTGGGTTCCTGCCTCCTCCAGTGACAAAGTCAGGTGATTTGTGTCTGCAGGGCCTCCTAGTCTGTCCACGTGTCCTGTGGGGGTCCCTCTATCCAGGCAGGAGTGTCTGTGTGTCTAACTGCAACGTTGTGGTATGTCTGTTTCCTAGTCTCTGTGTGATGAAGCTTAAAGGCACAGCAGCTCTAAGAGACTTCCCTGTGAGCCGTAGTTACTGTTTACCAGGTACTAGCTGGTTGTTTACCAGGTACTAGCTGGTTAGATGTTTACCAGGTACTAGCTGGTTAGTTGTTTACCAGGTACTAACTGGTTAGTTTATCAGGTACTAGTTGGTTAGTTGGTTTATCAGGTACTAGCTGGTTAGTTGTTTACCAGGTACTAGCTGGTTAGTTGCCTTCAAGTTGATTCTGTCTGTGAACCCTATGGGTTTCAGAATAGAAGTGTGTGTCATAAGGCTTTCTAGCTTGTGGCATTTTGGAAGCAGATGACCGGGCTTTTCTTCTGAGGTGCCTCTGGGAAGGGTCAAACTGACAACTTTTCAGTTAGCAGTTGAGTGCTTAACTATTTGCACCACCCAGGAACTGCCTAAAAGGCTCATAATTATTGTGTTTTTCTTTAAATACATGGAAAAACTTTGTCACAATTATTTTTAATAAGTTTGCAAGATACTGCAGTGAAAGAGAAGTGTGATCAAGTTATGAGCTTTTTAGGTTTATGGAGGAATAACAAACAACATGCAGACATATATAAGTGTGGTGCTGCTGATTTGCTGTGGAGTCAGTTCCGACTCATAGTGACCCTGCATAGGCTTTCCAAGGCTGTGAGTTGATGCGCAGAGTTGATGCGCCAGACTGCAGAGCCGTTTGAACTGTAAGGTCGGTGGTTCAAGCTCACTAGCTGCTCCTGAGAAACCCTATACAGGGTCCCTATGGGTCAGAATCGACTCAATGGCACTTAATAACAACAACAACAAGTCTTTATGGGAGTAGAAAATCTCATCTTTTCTCCCATGGAATGGCTGGTAGTTTCGAATTGCTGACCTTGAGGTTAGCAGCCCGACTTGTAACCACTATACTACCTGAGCAAATTATATAAAGTATACAACTTGCGAAGTTGTGACACATACCTAATAGATACCTACCAAGGACTGCATGCACTGTAGAGTAAACACTAGACTGCTAACAACCAGGTCGGCAATTCAAACCCACCAGCCGCTCGCGGAAAACCTTAATACAGCAGGAGTGGGGAACATCCGGCCTGTGGGCACATAAGGCCGCAAAATCATTGGTCTGGCTTTGCCAAAGCAACTGCAGGTAGGACTCGAAAGTCAGTAAATCTCGGAGCTTTTTTCATAGCAACATAAACTTTTATTAAGTGATGTTATAAATATCCAAATGGCCCTTGGCATAAAAAAGGTTCCCCGCCCGTGCTATAAGCACTGACGCAATGGTGGTGGTTGTTAAGTGCTGTGGAGTCGGTTCCAACCCCTAGAGCCTCTGTATAAGGTTCTGAGGAGCAGCGGGTGAGCTTGAACCGCCGACCTTGTGGTTCAAACCGACTTTGTAGTCCAGTGCATTAACCCACAGCGCCATACTTAACAACAACCAAGGACAGCAGCTTATTTGGGGAATAAAAATGTTTTTGTTTTGTAAAATGCAAATGTCCCCATATTTCTAAATCAAAGTGATGCTTGATGTAGGATTATGGCCCACCTCACCTGTGTGACAGGGAGGGGCCCATCAGTCAAATATCCTGGTTATCTACAGTGCAGAAAATACTCCCCTAAAAGTGCATGGCTTCAGACAGTTTCTATTTTCCCCACGAGTCTGTCTCTGGGCAAGGCTGAGAAAGAACAACTTTCTTTTCTCTTTCATTCATAAGCAGCTTCTGCCATTCCGTGATTTCTTTATATTCTTTCCAGCGTGGCTGCTTTATAGTGTGTGGAATTCTTATCATTGTCCCAGGGATCCCCCAAATGCCACCCGACAGAGAACTTGGCAGGAGCAGGGTCTTATCTCCTGGCCTTGGAGCTGCCAGAGCATCAGTCCCCCTAAGCCATAGAACAAGGTTCTATGGCCAGTTCATGGTGAAGAGAGACACCACTTTCTGATGGAGAGAGTTGTCCAAATCTTTGTTATGTCTTTGAAGACGACCATAGCAGGCACAGTGGAATCTTCCACTTACAGATGTTGTGAGATGCAGCCATTTGGCTATTCTGTGTCAACACAGGCATGAACAGAAACATTCTGCTTTACACATTTAAGTGGAATTACATTTGGTTTATAAAACCTTTGCACATTCTAAATTCTCAAGGATAAACGCCAAATCCTCATCAGCTGCTAACCCCCTGCCATCCTCTAGTAGCTTTTCATGTCTGTGTCCCTGTCTACTTCCAGAACCCCAGCTCCTGTGACCCTGCTCAGCTCAACATTTCCAATCTCAGCAAAATCTCTTCCTCCAGCATCATTACCACATGTACATTTCCACTGAG